CTGCAGGGTCCCGGCCCACAATGTAGAAATTAGCCCCTGCAATCATCCGGGACCTGCAGTGCCACTGGACCTAGGAAACACCACATTAAGGGACATTGCTGGTCATCACTGGCCAATTCTGTGGGTTCCTGTTACAGAAACACCTCTATTCTGCTTTAAAAACAATTCAGTAATGAGGGCCAACTAATAATGACAAGAAAGCCAGTGAGGTGTCTACGACTGCAAGCTCTTATTCGTCTGCTTGGTTGTGTTGGGTAGGACAGAGCTTTAAAGATAAGAATCCTCCCTCTTAGAACCTGGGGTTGTATTTCCTCTTCTCTCCAAGCAGGCTAGCAGACCAGGAACACTCGGATCTTACTGTTTTCCAGAACTGTGAATTTCACTTACCAATTCCCTCCCTATTCAGAATAAATCACAGTTTAAAGAAGTTACAAACTCCATTATCTCTTATCTGAATGCTAATAAATGAGCTAATTACCTTTCATATGCAGACATTGATTCCAATTCAATACAACATTGAGATTTCAGAATGAATTGTCCTCTTTAAAGCTCAGATAGAAATACAGGGGGTGGAGAGGAAAGCTAGGGGCCTTGGAACTTTGATCTGGTTGAAGAGAATTAATTTATTAAACTCAGTTTGGGGTATTCCAAAGGGTTGAGACCCCTTCAATTCATACTTCTGCAGCCTTATTCAGATCCATACACTGGTGGTGCAGTGGGACAAAGAGAGTCTCTGTTTGATGGGCTCACTGTGTGATGAAAGGGACACATTAAGCTTTTAAAGATATACCCCGTGAGTTTATAATGTAGTTCACAGAGCAGAGAGAATCACTTAAAATAACTGGAACTTCAGAAAGTGAATAGTAGGTTAGGTGCAACTTGCCCTAAACCCAGTTAAGTTGCCCTATCTACCTCATTTCACACGCCAGCTTCCATATTCTCAAAGGCAGTGTATAACAAGTTTGATTTGACATTTCTAGCATTTCGATAATCACTAAATGGAAACATAATTAAGTTGGATAAAGGAGACTAGAAGATTTCAGAATCTGCTCATGACAAAGATCTCAGAGACTCATTTGCTCTTCTAAGTAAAATCTGAGCCTGCACTTCTGAGTCCCATCACCCAGCTCGGGGAACGGCTCACCTCTGTGGGGCCAGCATATAACATGGGAGATGGGAAGATGGCAACAATGGTTGACTTGGGATCCAGGACCCCTTCCTCAAGCACAGCTGCATGCTGCTTCATCCGCCAGTCCAAGGGCACATCGTCATCCTTGGTCCAGCCACCCAACGGGTGGAGCAAGAGGACTGGGTACTTGTAGCCCCTCTCCAGGAGCCGGCGGCGGGTGTCCTGCATCAACAGAGCATGGCCATTGTGAACAGGATTGCGCAGCTGGAAGGCAAACACCGCATCTGGGAAAGGAAAACATAAAAGCCAATGTCAAAGAAATGGCAGTGTCACTTGACTGCAAGAACTGAAAGACACAGCTATGGTTTTTCAATGCATTCATATATCCACTTGCTTTTGATAAGCAGCCGGAGAATCCACCAGAGGCTTTAGGGGTGTTATTCCAAAGGTACCAACCAATGTCAGACTGCTTAGACAGCAACAGGACACAGAGGCAGGAAGCCCGAGAGGGTTCAAAAATGACTCAAAAATGACTCAAAAATGAAAACATTTATGGCCAGGACCTTTCCTGCAAACCAAGGCTCAGGCAGGGGCCTACATTCATCAGTCTTCTAGTACCCTGCTCCAGTCTCACTTCTCCAGGAGGGTGATTATGATGAACATTTTCTGGGACCCATGCAAGGTCTCAACAATGTAAAGATATAAAAGATATTTCATCTTCACTTTAAGGAAATTTTTCAAAACTACTACACTGAGTGATGGACTTCCGAGAGTCTTCATTTTTCCTTCTGGTTATGAAATAATGTATATCTATTATGGAAAACTTGGGAAATACAGAAAAGCTCAAAATAGAATATAAAAATCACCTGTAATCCTATTGTTACTTTCTTTCTCTTTTTCAAAATATGTAAAGTGAAAATTTTCCCTCCCCTTGGTCCAGCTCCATCCCCAAGACGTTGCTGCTGTCATCAGACATTTCTTCTATACATAGAAATAGGGTTTTAAAAACAATTATTACATTTTATTTTGTTTTTCAAAATTATGTTCTATGTATTGTTCTGCAGTTTGTTTTTTCATTTAATAAATATACTTTGGGTTTCTTTATGTGTCAGTGCATATATTTTACTGCTTCATAGTATCCAGTGTAAGGATATAGTTCAACTTTATAAACTATTTCTGTATCAATAGAAGATGTTTCCGGCTTTTTAAAATAAACATGCTGTTCCTGATATCCTTAATTCTGTAATCAGAGGGTGGCAAATGCATTAGACAAATGCATTAGAGCCAGCCTACATACCAGCATTCATTTCTTTACATTTCTGTTTGAGCTCTAGAGGTGTCAGGCGGTATTGGTCCAACCCATCGTTCCACTTTATTCTCTCCAGCACCTGAAGGTCTCCACCAACCAGCCAATCCCCACTTTCCATCACCATCTGGAAAGACAATCATTAAAAGTTGTCAGTGATTAATATCGATTTCTGTTTATCTGAAAAATTTTATTTCTGGACTAATCCCGGGTTACTGTTGAAGAACTGCCTTCATTTCTTCAGCATTTCTAGCATGGTATTTATCAAACTTTTTGGTCTCTCAACCCCTTTATGCTCAAATAAATTATTGAGAACCCCCAAAGAGTTTTTGTTTATGTGAGTTATATCTGTCATTTTTCATATTAGAAATTAAAACCGAGAAACTATATAGACCCAGAGGGCTGTCGTGACATGGGGCAAGGATAAGCATAGAAAGAGAAGGAGGGGTTGGCTGCAGGCCAAGAGCCGACTCTCCACACTCCACTACATTGTGGTGTGGAACCGAGATGTCTAAATTTGAACCTGGCCTTCCAGATTGTTATCAAGACATCGTTGTCAAAGTGGAAAGATAGAAATATCTTACTTAAGTTTATTAGTTAGATCCGTAACTTTGAAAGATGGTATGTGGGCTTCAGTTTGTATTCCTTCTCTGGGACCCACAAATAATAGGTGTGAGACTGGTGTGAAGAATGGTCAAAGTAATGAAAAAAGACCATGACAGTTTCAGACGCAAGGAGAAAAGGTTAGCACTACCCTTGACAAGACCCTTGGGTCTGACGAAAGACACGGTTTAAGGCATTGTCACCTACTTTGTGTCATCTAACTGTGGTTCTTACATTGTACACCTAAACTTACACAATGTTATATGACGGTTATATCTCAGTAAACCTATAGAAAACATGACAACCTTTGTTTTTCTATAAACTTAAATGTGTTCCATATGATGTTGCCGTGCAGTCGGTTAAACTTGGAGCAAGTGTCTTTCCGCACTCATTGAGACATTATAGAAAGTCTTATTCCTCAGAATGGTTTCAACAGCCCTTTCTCTGATCAGATTCCGTAACATGGCCACCTGAAATGTCAGCAGAGGAGGAGGAGGCAAGAGTAGGGAGAGATAGCTGATTGATTTCAAACGCCTAGTCAGAAGACACCAAGGTGGCAATAGTGTGCCTCTGATTCCCAGTCCTTGTCACGGCCAGATATTAGGGTTTATGATGACTTGCCATTCCATAGGGGTTCAGGGAATGGGGAAGAGGGAGTAAAATAGAGCCATGGTTCTCAGCAGTGGGTGATTTTACCTCTCCTGGTGACATTTGACAATCTCTGAAGACAATTTTGATTGTCATGACTGGGGCGGAGGAGGGTGTTCTATTAGCATCCAGTGTGTGGAGGCCAGCGATGCTACTAAATATCCTACATTGCGCAGGACAGACCCCCAGCAAAGAATTATCCCTCCCAAATGTTGATAGTGCCATGGCTGAGAAACTTTGAGTGAAGAGTGGTCGTGCAAGCGATTTGGCGATGTTTTCATGGCCCCTTTCCGTGCCCAGGAAAATCATTTAACAAGAATGTGGTCAAATACCAGGTCAGAGAATAGGTCATAATTGAGCTGAATCAGTAGAATGAGTTTCCTAGGTAGATAAGGTAGGAAATACATTTCAGCCCCATTGATAACCACACTCAAAGCCTTAAATTAGAGGGCATAGTCCTTTAATTTGGAAAGGTCGAAGATCAAGTTTGGTATCCAAATGTGACTGGAGATGAAGAACCTGTTATGCTGTAGTAGGAGGAGTTTGGATTTTAGATTGAAGACAGCAGGGAGCCATTGAAGGATTCCAAGCTGGACAGGAATGTCAGATTTGTGGTTTAGATCTTTCTACACATTTACTTTCTCCTCACTGCTTAGAGTTAGATTATAAAATTTTGAAAGATTTAAGACCCCAAATCCCTGGAGTGCAGTAACTCATTCTGGACACTGGGGGTCCACCCTATACTGGTTCTGTGGGTGAAGCCAACATTGAACTGATTTCATTCACTACCTATCCTAAAAATGTCTCTGTCTGAAGAGCAATGCTGAAACTGTTTTTGATATCACTGGGATTGAGAGAGGAAAAGGGCATCTCTCCAAGGTGGTTTAACTGTCCCCAGAACTGGTCCAGCTATCAGGAAGAGAGGTCCAGTGGCTCTGCCCAGTTTCCCAGGGCTTTGCAGCATCAAAGTCCCCAACTCCTGCCAAAGATAGGTGAGGGACAACAGCTGGAGAGTTTGCAGAATTGGATACACATGAATGAGGAACAGACTTTAAGGTAGAGTCTAGTGATGTAGTGAACGGGGAATTGGGCTCAGTGTCACAGATAACAGGACTGCGAAAGGAGGAGAGAAGGAGCTCAAACACTAGGATGAAGACTAAGAAGTTTAAGGTGAGTCAGCTCAAAGGGCGAGGAGAGGAAAACTTGAAAGAAACAACCTGGAGAGAAAGGGGATGTGAAAATCAGGAGAGGAGCAACTGAGGATAGGGAAGTGCAGACGTCAGAATGGAACGGGGAGAGGAGAGACGAGAATGAAAAGGAAGAAATGGTGGGTTCAGGAAAATGAGGTCATGATGAAGGGGTTTAGCAAACAAGAAGAAAAACTAATGTGATACAAGTGGATATGAATATTCATTTCTGCGATATTGTAGTCATGAAATTCTGGAACAGAAAGGAATCTGTAGATCATGTGGACTTCACGCCCTCATTCTAAATGAGAAGTTGGTTTTACAGAGGGGAAGTGGCAGAGTTCAAGTGCACATAACTGTCAGCCTGAACCCAAATCTAGGATTTCTTTAAACCAGGGTCTTCTTCCCACTGCACCCATGCCTCTCATCGGTGGTCTCTGCTGATATTTCAGCATCTCCTCCAGAGGGATCTTCCATTCATCTACCCAGTCAGCACTTATGTCCCAGGTCCTGGGCTTGCTGCTGGAGATTTCATGGTGAACCAAACAGATCAAAATGTGGTCCTTGATCTCATGGTTTGGCTATCTGAGTGAATTGACAGAAGAGTAAATGGGTAACAATACTGTGGAACAGCTGTGGACAGGACAAGGGCAAAGTACTCTGGGAGGACAAAGAAGGGGCACCCAGTCAGGCTTATACGTCATGGGAGTCAGCCAACTTCTTAAAGGGGAAAGGAGTAACAAATAGGGTGAAAAAGTAGGAAAAAATGGTGTCCTAGGTTGAGGGATGTGCACTAGCATGTGCAAAAGGAAGAGAAGATGATATAAGACCTGCCGAGAATGACTGGAGGAGAGAATGTGTTGAGCTGTGGTGCTGAGAGGTGGTGTGATGAAGTCATATCTTTACAAAGAGTTCCTGAATAAATCTTGGACAGTTCACGCTAGCTGAAGAATGGAGAAAGGATCACAAAGGAGTAAGGCAAGAGACAGGGAAGAAATGAAATGGCAGAGGTTGGAATAGAAGTGAATAAATTCAGCAATACCTAAGAGGCAGAAACATCAGGATTTCATGATGGAATCAACAAGGGAGAAGAAGCATGACATCCAGGTTTGGGACTTGGCCAACATGTGGATGGTGGAGCTGTCCACTGAGCTAGGGACCACAGGAAAGGGAACAGCTCTGGGGAGAGGTTGCACATGTTGAGTGTGAGGTGCTTGCCGCATCTATCCAGGTGGAGCCATACAAGCTGGGCTCTGGATAATTAATGAAGTGGTTCTCAACCTTCAACCTTCATAACACATTAGAATCACAGGAACTTAAAACTCCCAACACCCAGAACTGACCCCAAGACAAAATCTGTGAGGGTGGGAACCAGTCATGGGTAAATTTTTAAGCTCCCCAGGTTATTCTGTTGATCTAATTGACCATATGATCTTCACTGCAGAACTAAAGGGAAGTCATACTCTGTTCTCTGGGTTTCTACATGTGTAAAATGGAAGTAATGATTCTTAGCTACTCACAAGAGCGTTGTGAGAAATAATTACTGTTTGGAAAAGCTTTGAGAGCCAAGGATTAAAGACATCAGGCCTCCTCCAAGCATTTTTACACATTTCACCTGCTCCTCGTGATTTCATCTGCCATCACGTCACATGGTTTTATATTAGTGACTGGAGAGAGAGGGTTGGGATGACTTGAATGGAAAGTCAAGGTGACTTAAGTGAGGAGCTATGCAACAGAGACAGACCATTTCCTTGGTGACGGACCATTTTTCTTGCAAAAAAAAAAATTTTAAATATTACTGTGAATTTCAAAGTGCTTTAAAAACAATGCATATACCTGAAACTAATATAAAATAATAATAAAAATGAAATAAATAAAAATTTAAAAACCACAATGCAAAGAGTTTCTTTCCCAATAAAATCCATGTGTTGTGTGTCTGATAAAGACACCTTCAGCATTCCAAGTGTATACAGGGTGAGTGCCTTTCTCTCTCTTTATCTGTGGCCCATTTCTCACTATTAGCTAGCTCACTAGGAATATTTAACAGAGTCTCTCTAATAACCTAATGGTCCAGAGTCACTGACTATATTGTCAAGGCCACAAGTCACACCCACCACTCTCCCTGGCTTCTAAGAAATTCTGAACTCCAACTGCCAACACATGTTGCAAGACAAGAGGAAATAATTGCTTAAGAGCTTCCTTAAGCTTTGTTTCCTTTTAGTGCTAATTATATGTATGTGGATATTAGGCCCAAAGAGTAGAAATATCTGAGCTGCCATGATTAAAGGCAACTATTCTTTACGTCACTGAGTCAAGATAAAATCCCAGCCCTATATGATTATGATCAGGAAAGAAATGAAACAGGCATAATTAAGGCCCAGAACATAAATCCTCAAGTAGCTCTCAATCAGTGTCCAGTAGTTTCAGTGTCCAGCCTGTTGGAGAAAAACAGGCTGGACAGATGGCTTTGAACTGCATGTGTTTTAAGATTAAAGATGCTTATCTGCAAGGTGGATACTTGGATCCAGCCAAAAAATGAAAAGCTGCTTTGCTGCCAGTTGACTCCTTGTATCAGAGGCTGCCAGCAGCAGCCTTGAAAAGGCCTTTCCTATTCTTGCAACATTCCACAACTGATGAAAATAAAAGAAAACATGTTTGCCCGACAGACTTGGACAGGTTTATTTAAACATCCATTTTGCAGGGTCTCAGGGCCGAAAGAGACCTTGGAATTATTCTGAGCTTCTCTACTAATTTTTGTTCACTGAACAGATATCATTGATTCCTCACCCCGCCTCCCTGGCACAGAACATGAACTCTGACTAAATTAACTACCTATCTGGTAGTTTTCCATTTTGCCGCCTGTCTGGTAGTATTCCATTTTGCCGAAGAACCCAGACATCACAGGATCCAAGGGCACAAGAGATCATTTAGACTAGCCCTCAAAATAAAGACATTTCTAAAAAGATCTGCCAAGGCAAAGCCTGCAAAACCTCCCTTAGAAATGTATTCTTCCCTCTAACCCGTTTTTCTAAGTCCTTCATGGAGGAACTAAAAAATAATTATTTTCATCCTAAGTTGAAAGAGATCAAGAAAGCCTTTTCAAAGCTTTTGCAACTTACTTTGATATGGGGATGTTTTGCACATGTTGTCCCCCACACATGAGAACAATGCTCCTCTTTTCTATGTTCGTAGAATTCAGGGTCTTGTAAGATAGCCACCCTCCGTCCACCATGTGTAAGGACAAACTCTCTGCACCCTTCCAGCCGCGTCTTATCATCCGCAGAGACAGGCAGTATGATAGGAATGCTCATGTTGATCACTCCATCTGTAGAAAGAGCCATGTGGTGCATAAATATGGGATACAAGACGTGCTGCCCTGTACAGATGTCTCAAATCGCACACTGTCCCTTCCAAACATCTCCCGCAATAGGCATTGAGACCTAAATCCAACATGGTTGCGTGGCTGCACCAGTTTCTCTAGACTCTGATGAGAAGTCCTTGATGGGCTTCTCAAAACAGGAGACAGGGCATTTGTGAAGGGTGGGCTGAGTTGTAAATCACAGAGGTTGCTTCGGTAATTTGGGGGCACAGGGCGTGTTTCTCTTCTAGATTCCCTTTTTTAAAGCTTGGTCCTGACCTCAATGCACTAGAAGGTTTAAAGTCTTTAAAACCCCAATTAAAGTTTGGCAAAAAATAAATAAATCAAAACCGAACCTTGTAATAATGTTAGCAAGTCTCTTATTATCTATTTAGGCTCTAATTGCACTACCAACACACTGAATTGAAAAAAAAAATCAGACAATATTAACCAACAGAACCCCAAACAAGCAGTCTTTCTAATGTTGTTGGTTTACGGTGGTCCTGGCACAGCATCACCTTTAAATATTTTTGAAAAGAGTTACCTGGGAATCACAAGTCTTGCTAGCTCAACTACAATTGAGAACCATCAGTCAAAAAACACAGGAGTGAAAAACAACATCAAGTTTATTTACTAAAGTTCATGCACTTTCTTTGGAGAGTATGTACCTCTCAACTTTATGCTGAGTCTCTTACCTTAAAAAGTATTTAAATAAACTAGGTCTTCTACCTTAGCATACAGCACAACACATTGGAAGTTATGGAATGTGGTGTTCAGCAAATTTACATTTTCAGCTGCAAGATATCAAATGACAGCCTGACCATAAAGGAAGAGGCAGGAAAGCTATTTAAAAAGACATAGAAACTGTGATGGTTAATTTTATGTGTCAACTTGGCGAGGCCACAGTACTCAGATATTTTGTCAATTACCCTAGATTTCAAACATTTCTCTGAAGGTATTTTTAGATAAGATTAATATTTAGCTATTTAAAAAGACATAGAAACTGTGATGGTTAATTTTATGTGTCAACTTGGCGAGGCCACAGTACTCAGATATTTTGTCAATTACCCTAGATTTCAAACATTCTCTGAAGGTATTTTTAGATAAGATTAATATTTAAGTCACTAGACTTTTGAGTAAAGCAGGTTACCCTCCAAGATGTGGTGAGCCTTAAATACTTTGATAGAAAAAGACAGATCTCCCAGAAAGAAGAGGGAATTCTGCCAGAAGACTGCCTTCGGACTTGAACTGTAACTTTCCGCTGCGTCTGCTGCCAGCCTACCCTACAGATTTTGGACTTGCCAAGCCTCCACGATTGCATGATTCAATTCCTTTAAATCAATCTCTCTCTCCCTCTCTCCCCCTCCTCCTCCCTCTCACTCTTCTGTTTCTCTGGAGAACCCTCACTAATACAGAAACCAAAAATACAGTCATGGGAAGTCCCTTAGTGTGGGGCCAGCCATCCCACTGGGGATCATTACATTAGAACTCAACTTAATAACGGGCATAACTAATGACGTTGGAGTCGTTTTTTAGAGTTTCCTTATGCTTAACATTTTTTTTAATGAATTAAGTCATTGTTGTTTTAGAAAGAACGTTTAAAAAAATGTTTCTAGATAAAATTGTTAAAAGGTGTAGTTGTCTAGTGGTTACCAGAAGTGAAGGTGGAGGAGGGAGGTAGATGGCATAAAAGGGGTTAAGTATGTGTGACAGAAAGAAATCTAACTGTGGGCGGTGAACATACAATGCAAAATATATATGACTTACTGTTGAATTGTACACTTGAAACTTACTGGATTTCATTAACCAATGTCACCATAATAAAAAATAAATAAAAATAAAAGGTATAGTTGTTTTTTAGTTTGGGGCTTAAAAGGATATAGTTTTGCTCCCTGGAAACATTTAATTTCTTAATGAAGCCAGATAATACAAAAGAAATTACATAACTGTTTCTCCCCTTTTGTAATGGTGCCCTAACATTCTAATGACTATGTCAGCCTCTCAGTTGTATTTACAGGTAAGAAAATAAGGGCACTTATTTAAGTATATAATACTAAAGAATGTTAGGGAGACTTTTGGGGAGTCGCTAAATTCAAGACTCGGAAATGAAAGGAAAATGAATAAAGAAAACATTGAACTCCAGAGGAAACAAATGGGTTTTGTAATTCAAGTAATTCCTTTGTTTCAAAGTTCATAGGCAATAAAAGCAGGCCAACCCTTTTGCAAAGAACACTAAACTCAAAGGTGTTCTCCCATTTACTACCTGTCATTCACCTCTGCACTCAGTTTCTTCACTTGAAAAATGAGATTAATAAATAACATGTATATCTCTGGGTTGCTGGGAGGGGTCATACTATAAAGCAGGGAGGGGTTCCCAACCAATGGGTGGCAGATCAGTACCGGTCCATGGCCTGTTAGGAACCGGCCGCACAGCAGGAGGTGAGTGGCAGGCCAGTGAGGGAAGCTTCATCTGTATTTGCAGCCGCTCCTCAGCACTAGCATCACTGCCTCAGCTCCACCTCAGATCATTAGGCATTAGATTCTCATAGAAGCACCGGTTCCTGGTGCCAAAAAGGTTGGGAACCACTGCTGTAAAGCACTATTACAGTGGCGGTTTATGGTAAAAGATAAACCTACTGCATAGTCTAATTGAGACAAAGGGAGAGAGGCTAACAATAACACCTTTAAGAATATCGATGACCTAGTTAGAAATCATGCTTTCTGTGATTTGTGGTTTACTGGACACACTGCTCATAAAGAGTGACTTGAGCAAAGTAAAGTAAAACAAAATGTGAAACGAAAGGTGGGCAATGTGCTGAAGGAGGCCTAGCTGTGCCTGTAACGTGCCAAAGGAGGCCTAGCTCTCCTGTAACGTGTGCGGTGGTGTCTTCTCTCTGTTCTGGGTTGAAATCCAAGGGATACTCCACTTTCCTGTTGCAATCGCCTCCTTTGGTCCACTAGGTTCCTGCCCAGTGTAACCTCTGATCCACCTATATCTTGGTCTTGAGTGAAATTCCAAACAGGGATCAGCTCTCCCTGACAAGGTTGTCAAGGTAAGGGAGCTAATCTGTGGGATGTTATGGAAACGAGTTCTATCAAGAAATAATGTCAACTGATCTCATAAACCTGTAGCTAAAACTCCACACAGGTATAAGCAGATTTACTGTGGTTTCCCTATTTGTATTTTCTAATATCAAAACATATTCAACAGTTTAACTCTGTGCTGAAACATCCTCCATAGCTTTAAGCATTGACTCAGGCTTTCAGCCTTTTTCCATCATGTGCTTTTAGCTCTGGTGGGAACCGCCTTGGATATTTTATTGCAGTAATTTCTTTGGAGAAGAGCATTCTCTGTTTTTTTTTTTAGCCATGGTTAGTTAGTCCAACACATAACTTCATGTTCAATTGAATAATTTTGCTTTTGTTTTCAATAATTTTCAAGCCTTTTGTTTAAACCTTATAGATCTGTTTATTGGTTTGGGGCTGTTTCTATGCAAAAACTAAATTACTTTTTATTATTTACTTAGGCTTTTTTAAGGAAAAACAACAATGATGAAAACAATAACAAAGATAAATGCTATCTTCAGTATTTTACCTTTTCATTCTGGCACAGCACAGAAGTTTACAATCACAGCAAGTATATGTTTATTCCCAGTTCTATAACTATCGATCATCGTATCTTGATATTAAATTCATGCATAATCACACATCACAAACAAATGAAGTACAATCATCCACAATCCAACCAGGTATATCCACTTTAAATTGAAGCTAAAATTGATTTATCCTTCAGCAATTAAAAATGTTTTATAAGGGCAATAGAAAAATTTTTTTCCAGATTTGTGAAATTAAAGAAGGACCAACACTCAGTAGAAGTAATTCACGGAGAGGAACATAAACTTTTAAAATCTCGAATGTGCAAATATAATTTTGAAATGAGTTTACTTTTTTCATCCAACTACAACATTATAAATAACAGCTGCATCTGATCCAAAAATTTCCTGTTATTTGGATTCCAGTCGACAGAAGAATATAGCATTATTCTATTGTAACTGGTTGGATCATGAACTGTTAGCAATTCCAACTGGTTTATTCGGATTATTTTTTAGGTAGATTCTTAACCATTTGTAATTAATATAATTTATCTACTTATAATAATTTAGTAACTTGGAAAGTTAAAGTACATACCAGAAAGGATCATGCCTGGAGAAATATAAACACAATTAAGAAACATGTTTTCAGCTCTCCATCAAAATAATCTTAAAGCAATAATGTCAAGGAACAAATTTCTATTATGAAACTTCACACACAAAACATACAAATATACTGAGCTCTTTGCTGCTGCTATTTTTTTTTTTTTTAAATAGAGACTATATGATAGCAAAAACCTGGTGAAACCAGATTTGTACTGAATATTATTGAATACAATCCAAAAGCATTATTTCAGATGATTATCTGTTTTAAAAATAATTTTAACATATGTCAGTGGCCCCTATAACTTTAGAAAGAAGTTGTCTCTTGCAAATCCATGATGATATAACAGTTCTAAACCAGGCTTAGGAAGAAGATATGGAAGCAAACTGCTCTAGAACATCTGAGAATCCTGATGTTTAGAGAGGACATGAAAGTATGCTCAGTAGAACAAACACAGACACTAGGGCTAGGATAGCCTGAATTTGAATCTAGACTTAAATTGAGTTATTTAGTCTTTCCAATACTTATTTCCTCATACGGACATCTTCATAGAGGTGTATCCAGAATAAATGTGATATCCTGTGTCAAGAGCCATGGTCAGAACACATTAGGTACTGAGTAAATGCTAGCAGTATGTAAGGAAAGTCATCAAGCCCTGCCTTGGATAGTCAGAGCCACAGAAGACTTACCTTTAAATAATCAAGTCTCACAAGACTGCCATGTCTTGAGCCTACTTGGGGGCCACCAGTCAAGAACATAAACTTGTTGAGTTCCATTTTTAAATTTAGATATGACATTTATGATCAGAGCGACAGCCCCAAACTATATATTCAGTGAGAAATAAAATGCTATAATACATTGATATGAAAGTAGATCTTCAAGTAATATAGGGAGTAACATACTACACAATTATCAGAAACACTAAAAAATGACTCTTTTTTTTGGCTTTTGCCTTTGGACTGAGTAGACTGAGAGATTTTTTTTTTTTTTTTTTAATTTAAGGGGAAATGTGAACCTTTGAGAAAATTAAAACCAATAACGTTCTTAGGACATATGGACAGAATAAAAAAATGTTGCCTACAGAGTATAGGTGAATAAGAAATTTGCAATTATTTAGCTACAGAAATTATTCCACGTTTTCAATGATAGAGACTCAAATTTTCATGAATTGGTTAAAATTAGATGACATCTTACTCAACCTTCTGATATATATAAATAATGACTTTTGGGAATTTACCTCTGTCTACTCAGTCCAGAAGCCATCAAGCCAGGCTCTGCCATGAGACTGTCATGATGTGGTACAGAGCAGTGTTTCAACTGGCTTCCTCCAGATGCCCCCAGGCCTGCTGTCCAGGTGGGAGGGAGGCTGTGTCCACTCCTTCTACAGGAGCAGTTCTGTTTTCATCTGTTGTATATATTGCCTCAGATTTCACTGAAATAAAGAGTTATCTGGCTTTAAAAACTTTTTTGATAACCATGCACGTGGTGGGAAGAACCTACTGGAACCTGCCAGGGTTCAGACAATGAGCTGCACTGTCTGTCTAGGGAGTGCACACCTGTCTTTATCAACACTCTCTCACCAGCAGCTAGAACGAACTCTGGCATATGAGGACACTCAACGAATATTTGTTGGCTAGCTGATGGACATCTCATCTGTGCTACTTCCAAACTGATGTGCCTATGGATAAGCCACTTGATCTCTTCAAGACTTCAAGTTCCATTAATTGCATGCAGGGAGCGGGGGCGGTGAGGGGGAGGGGGAGGTTGCGGTTGTTAATAATACATAAAACATTTACTATTGGACCAGACATTCTTTTAAACTTTCAACATCCCAATGAGGTAGGTACTGTTATTAACATCCCTACTTGACAGATGAGGGGACTCAGAGAGTCAGAGAGTTTAAGTAATTTGCCCAGGATCATAGCTAACCATTGGCACATGAACACAGTTTGGCTCCACAGCTCACATTTTATCTACTATGATATTCTGTCTCTACTTAGGTAGAAGTAGGTGGCATATTATATTCCTAGTGTCTATTTTTACTAATTGATTTCAATAAGAGTTGAGGAGGCTTCTGGAGGGTGTGAAGAATTTTAAACCCTGACTACAGCCAGAGTTACATAGGCATGTCCAGTGGACTCCAGGGGAAGATGGTGGAGCCAGCAGAGAATTCTTGCAGGGCAAAAAAGAGTCTTACAGAGAGTTCCAGAAACAGGCCCTACAGATTAGAAGGGGGTACAGGTTATGGAAACACCATGACATCTGTTCTTAACCCCCACTCCCCAATGTAGCCACACTGGTAGCAACAGGAGAATAAAGGGATGTGTACAGATTATAAGAGTTGTCTCACTCAATTCTCTACCTGCTAGAGAGTCCTCAACCAAAGTTAACACAGAAGAAGAGAACATCCTCTTTCCCACTTGAGAAAGAGTACATGAACTGCTCCAGCCCTGTGGATACAGAGACTTTAAAGGCTGGAGTGAATGGGCAAGATCTACACCTTTGTGGGTACACAAAACACACAGATCCACACGGCAAGTGGTGTGTAGCTGTGGGCCTGATTAGGGAGCACAGGAAATACTCCTTAAGAATTCCCACAAACACCTGTGGATAGGCTTTGGAAAGACCGGGAATTTCTATATGAGCAGGTAGTGAAACTCAAGTATTAACGGGAAAGTGACTTCATTCATATCCCCAGACTGGTGGGCTTTGCAGGGATAAATACATAAGAAATGGGAACAATAAGTGTCTCACCCACCTCATGGTAGTGAGGCCCAAATAAGAAAAGCAATGTGTTTCACTAATTGAAGAACATCACATAATGAAATTGAAATGGTGTGAGAGGGAGGGAGAAAAATTTTGCTTAAATTATCTAGGTGGATTATCTGCATGAGCTGTTATCTTTTTGGATCATAGTCACCTTTAAGAATCCATCAAAAGCTATGAACTCTTAACCCAGAAAAATGCCCCTTTCTCCCCTTCTTAAAACCCTAACTATTTTGCCTACTCTAGGATTTTTCCCCCGACCCATGTTCTAAAGTCCTAGACTCCAAGTTAAGAGCCTTGGTTTCCATTAACATTGACTTCTGCCACAAAACCCACCACCCTGGTATTTTTCTTTAAGGAACAAATAGTTGTCAAAGGTTACAGCACTACGTCTGTAATAAGGTCCTCACTTTCGATGTGGCTCACTTTTCTTTTGGCCACAGCCCTGGTTTGGATGCTCATGGTCAACCTCTTCTTGTTCATGACTGGCTGCTGAATCCGGTGACATTTACTCGATGCAGCCTATGCCTATGTTCAGCATGCGTCGAAACTACGACATCAAGGTAAATGTCAGCCTTTCTTGTGCAAACAACCTGGTCTACTAACTTCTTTTGGAGAGGGCATCAGGGAGCAACCTGGTATGGGGAGCACTGGAAGTCTCCAGTGTTGAGCCCATCACTTTTCAATGGTATAAACCTGAACATAACACTTAACCTGAGGTCAGTTTCCCTATCTGAAAAGTGGGATAAAATATAGTTGCCTAGTCTACGGCCATGCTACCTTGAACAAGCCTGATCCCGTCTGATCTCGGAAGCTAAGCAGGGTCGGGCCTGGTTAGTACTTGGATGGGAGACCACCTAGGAAGACCAGGTGCTGTAGGCATAAAAAAATTAAAAAATAAGAAATCATAAGCTGATAAGGTCCTTAAAATCTGTTAGGTCAACCAAGGGTTGCCTTGCCTAAAAAAAAAAAAAATACACACACACACACACACACACACAGTTGCCTGTCCTCCAGGGCTTTCACAAGGATCTAATGAAATAATACCTGAGAAAATGCTCTGAAAACAGGGAGGTGATATACAGATAAGCATTATTATTATTAAGGCAAGCTATAAGTAAATCAAATGCTTTTTGAAATGTTATTTAATCCAAGAAAAGAAGGTCCCAAGCCGTGGGGTGGGGCATTATCAGTCACAGCTGATAATGGAACAGCTGATAAAGAGGAATTATGGGAGAGGGCTCATTTTGACTAGTCTTTTTTTGAGCTCTGTTTCTGGCTGTATGCCCCATTCCCCAGGCGGGGACGCAAGCCCGGAACAGGAACATCTTTCCCAAGAAAGAACATTTTATTTGATTTTTCTTCCTAAAAGTTTCAGAGCCCTGCTTGCTACTATGACCTGGTGTGACTCTACCACCACCCTGCCCACTTATCAGCCATTCCCCAAAGTCTTGAAACAGACGAGTTCCATTTGATAAGCTCAGGCAATTCTAGGAACGAAATGATCATAGAAGGGTCCAGAAGTTTTCCAAATAACACATGCTTTCGACCCTGACCAGATCATTTCTCTAAAGGCCATTCAGCTTGTTCCCAGAAAGCTGCCTTAATGCTCCCTTGTTAGAGTTTAGTGGATGAAGCTATTTAATACACTTCATGTATAAGCATAAATATTGACACTTTAGCATCCACCAAGGAAAGCAGCTGCTGCAATAACACGTCAGCTCATGAAGACTCCTTACTCTAATTAAAGTCCATGCAATAACAGAGCAACCTGAAGGATGTGAGATACTCTGCAAGTCAACGACATGTGCTGAGTTCATCTTGGCTGCCCCAGGATGGTCCTGGCAGCTGGCAATAGTGCTTCTGGCTGTCCTCTGCTGTCTGAATATCTGGGCCAACAAAGGGCAGATGGAGGTGAAACAGTCTTAACCTTCTCATGGCTTTGTGTGCAAATAAAACCTTCAGTTCCTTGGTTTTAAACAATGAATAATCCTTTGAGGATAACCAGAAACATCCTTAAAATGGAAGCTTATATATAATAGAATTGGACACACCATAAGTGATCTAAATATTTTCACAATAAGATTTACAAACCAAGAATTAACATTTCTTGTTCCTGCGAAGACTCTGAGAAAGATTTTTTTTTCTTTACTAATAAAGAAAAAGAAATGAACAAAAAATCATACCATCTAGCAGGGTGCCAAAGTGTATCACCTGTAAATACTCCTTCTCTCTCATAAAACCTTTGAGGGGAGTAGCCCAGCCTTCACTCAAAACTTGGACCCACTGAAGATCCAGCTGCAAAACAGGAAAAGCAGGTGAATATTTCCATAAGCTCTGTTTTTCAGCCATCTGGCCCAAAGGCAGTCCTTCCTTATTCAGTTGACAGGAAAAAAAGACAGAACCTTTTATGTGGTTAGTGTTCTCATATGTTATGTTGACTCGTAATTGTGGGGCCAGATAAGTTTGAGCCTAGAACTTCCCTACAGGGGAGCAGTAAAAAGATTTCAAATTGAATGATTTATTTCAACACTTTAGGCTGTATCTATCCTTACAATGGGCAAGTGCGTTGAACATTCACTGTTCATTCTTTTTTCCACAAAAATTCTGGTTTGGTTGAATTTTTCCACCAAATGTGCTATTTGGTTTACTGAATTGAGCAAACCGGTGATTCTAAGGTAAAAGTCCAAAATTCTTAGCATGATACTAAAAACTCTTTAAGCTCTGGCCCGGGGGGCTCATGTAGGGACTGCCACCTCTTCCCACTCTCCACTTGGGGGCCTATTCCCAACAGTGCCAGACAATGCGCAGTCTAAACACACATGTGGTTTCAGGCCTATCCTCCTCCTCACCTGAAATTCCTATTTATTCTTTAAAACCCAACTCCTGGGCCACTGCTCTGAAACCTTTCCTGTTATCCTTAGGACTAAAAAAGTAATCATTAGATTATTTAAAGGGTTTTTTTGTTTTGTTTTGTTGTTGTTGTTGTTGTTGTTGTTGCTGTTGTTGTTTTTTCTGTACCTTGAAGCCCATTTTGTTATTAGGACTATGACTCCACACTGTAATTATAATTATGTTGCTAATCTGCCGGGAGCATTGGAGACTTCAAAATTTATTTTGTAGAGTTAGAGTTTCTGTTTATAAATTTGTCATAACTTATTAGAGTATGGAGTCTTCATGAGCTGAAACAGGTTCCCAATTTACTTTGCCTTTTATAAAAATGTCCAAGGTTTTAATGGATAACAAAAAGATACCAATGAAAACATGGTCTCCTTGTATAGATCAATTAAAACTGATCTATAGAAAGGCCAAGGCATGTGCAGAGCAGTTTGGTTGGGCTGCATCTCATATATTCCAGGCAGTAAAATAAATGCAACTAAATTTGTTCCCCTCTCCCCTCAGACTGGACTCTCCCCAATGAGGAAAGAGTAGGATTTACAGAGTCAAAAAAGAGTGAGGCATTCAGATCACTTTAGTTCAAGGTTGCCTTTTGTTTTCTTCAAATTCCTTCTGGATGGCTCAAGAAGTGCTTGTATTCTGGACAAACTATTTTCTCAGCAGCTGCCAACAAACAATTACTGCCTATTGTCTGCACTTTGGCCTAAACAAAGGTATGAAGGCAATTATGTAAAACTGTCTTATGCAGATATGGATATTACCTTCCCGGTCTGCCTCTGCACAGGGCAGTGATAAATTGCTCTGTGGCACCTCTTGGTGACATATTTCTTTGGAGAAGAGATAAAAAATTTAAAAATTGGCAAAACGAAGTGTTTTTCTTTATGGATACTGCATTTTCCTTATTTATATCTTCCTTATTATCAAGAGTAACTGTAAATGGGTTATAATAACTGATATTAAGCCTAATTCTCCTTTGGCCAGTCTGCATCTTCTTACCTTAGTAATTGATAATGAAGGGAGAGCTTCAGCCTCAGCTCGGACTTGATCCAGTTTGTTTTCTGGCACAAAGAGCTCGTGGATGCCTTTGATTACAGTATGGGGCACAATGTTCTGAAATGAAGCAGAATTGGTAACAATTTGAAATGCACACTATAAAAAGAATGCTTCAGTAAACAGATGATCTTTCATGATCTTATTAAATATTTTTTAAAAAGAGAGAAAGAGAAGAAAGTCAGTCTACCCACCTGCTCTTGCAGAAGTTCCACTACCTGCTGGACACAGTCGCTCACTGAGGACAAGTTGGTTTTAAGCACAAGCTCAGGCGTTTCAGGTTTCTCATAATCAGAATCGATGCCTGTAAACCCTGCAAAACAGAAAGGCGAGAAACACATCTGCACCAACAGAACCATCTTTTTAATCAATAAGGCATAACATGTGATGGAATAATGTGTTAAACTGAGAATTCAGATTATAATGGAAAAGGTCAAAGGGCCATCCTTGACCTCTGGCCATTCATGAGAAAATATACAGCTGTATTTTCAATATAGAACCCCCAAGTTATCCATAAAATCTGGCTCGTTAAGTCCAAGACCCCTGAAGCTGATTCGAATCGAAAAGGAAGACAAGAGGATGGAAAAACTCAGAAACATTCTTCCTACACATATGCTCATATATATTTATCCATTTTAGTTTTCTAAACTTTATTGCTTATGGCTGAGGCGATGGTTCTTGAAAAACCTGAGCCCGCATTTTAATGAAATGCGGCTAAAACATTGTGTATGCTACATGCAATTTTGGAAAACAGGTTTTGAAACTTCCAACAAATTTCTGGGGACAGATAGGAAGGATTGGTGACATATGTAACTGGCAAAGGTGCTACTGAGCTGGTTCTCCTACCTTTGATCTCCCCAGCTCGGGCACGTTTGTAGAGGCCTTTTACATCTCTGCTTTCACAAATGTTTAGAGGCGCATCCACAAATATTTCAAAGAATGGCAATCCAGTTGATTCATGAATTTTGCGGGCATTCTCACGATCCTAGAAAAAATTACACTTAAGAATGTAAGAGGTTTCACAGTGAAATTCTTCATCACAAAACATTGTGTGCTCTGAAGATAAACAGCTATGTGTTCCATAGCCTGAAGATAAACACTAGGGTTTGTGCTCTGCAGAGGTGGCAGAAAACTTATTCTTCAGAGAAAGTCCAGAAATTCTGCTCTAGTAAACATAGCTCTCAAGAGGACTTTCAGAGAAAACCACAGAAAATAATCTTTGCTAAAGTTCAGGGTTGGCAATGTGGGAGCATTTCATCCAAAGGATGTGTTCAAAGCACAGAGTGTCTGATTTGTAACTCACAAAAAATTCAAACAGGAAGAGCAACACTCCACCTCGCCGATTTCAACATTAAACATATAACCTGATGCTTTGTCAGCAGACTGCTGTTTTCTTTAGCGGGTTAAGCATTCTGACTTTTTGGAGAAATGAAATTGCAGAGATTTAGGTTTTCTTGTTTAACTGTTTCTTCCTTTCAGCTCTGGCCAAGTGAACCTTACCATTGTGGAGGGGTTTATGTCAACTGGTGCCCTGGCATCTGGAAATGAAGGACGGCTCTTTACATAACCAATATTAAAGAGAGGAAATGAAGTGAGGGGAAGAAGAAACAGTGGGGGAAATTGAAAGTTTCACATTCCTTTGCAAACCGCTCCCTGCCCCCCCACCCCCAACTCCTTTTCCTGGCGGTTTGAGAGGCCTGGCACTGTGTGTGGGAACTGTGTAGAAGGCCAAATCAGTTCACCTTTGCGAAAGGAGAAATGAAGCTGGTAATGCACACCAGACCAGCGTCGGCAAATAGTTTGGCCACCTCGGCAATCCGGCGGATATTTTCTTCTCTGTCTCCGGGAGAGAATCCAAGGTTTTTGTTAAGGCCATGACGGACGTTGTCCCCATCTAGGGAGTAGCATGGGATGGCATGGGAAACCAGGTACTCTTCCAGAGCAAAACTTATCGTCGTTTTTCCAGCACCTGAAAGACCTGTTCAGAACAGGCAAGACAAGATAGGCATTGATCCTGACTGTTTAAAAGTGACTAATTGGAACCTGATTCTAATTGCGACCTGATCCTAATTTTTACCTAATTTAAGTGTAAATAAACTCTTATTACAATAATCTGATTGATTTCAAATCAAAACCCTTAAAATCTAGGAAAAGCATAGTTTACTACAAGTCAAGTACTTGTATTTCTTTCAAATCTTGACAGATCTATTTGTCCCTATAGCCTTTCAAAGCAAGAGAGGTTCATAAATGGGGAGACCTTGCAGGTCGACGTATGGTCTTTGGTGTGTTCTGTGTTGCCTGAAGAATGTTTTAAAGATTAGAAAGTTGCACATACAAATCCAGATTTAGGCTTCTCTTAAAAAAACAACAACAAAGGATTTGGTGACTGTTCTCATATTCCCTTGCGACAGCAATCAGCAATAGTGGAGGGGACAGCCAGCTCTTGGAGGCTGGGAGGCCAACCTCCCTTGTGGGTACCACTAAATAATCATCTGGGAACAGAGTCATAGACTGTCCTTTTGTTTTCAAGCTTTTTCCAAAATGACTCTCAAAGCCTGCAGACAGAGAAGCATCCTGAGCTAGGTTGTGGATGTGTTTAAAGCTGCCATACACTCTTAGATGTTTGAAGGCTTTCCATGAGAACGGAGGTACTATGTGCCTTTTACCATGGTTTCAAAGCACAATGATTGGGAACACACTTTATAATTTCTATGTGAGGGAGAACATAAGGAGAAAGGGACAGAAATGCAACCTATCGAAATTACTTTAGAGTTCAAAATCTGAACTACCCTGGAAAAGTAGCACTCTAAAAATTCAGTTGTCCTAAAGATCTGTGAACCTGAAGAATAGTCCATTGTGCCTAACCACGGTCAGACAGCACCCGGGCATGGGAGAGGAAAAATTAGGAGGAAATACAAGAAGGTCGAGAGGTTACTACAGAGAAGACAGCAGGCAGAAAGAGGAAAAAGACAGAAGAAGTAAGCGAAAAGCCAGAAAAAGTAAGCCAAAAGAGGAAAGGAGGCTTGGAAAGAAAAGGTGGTATATAAAAAGTAAACAAATATTTTCCATATTTTAAAGTCGTGCCCTTGGCATGGGATCATTAGAAGAAATGGCTACATGAAGAATGTGTTGGCAATACAGTAAATTGCTGTTGAAGACAATGTCTTTTATGTAACTTTGTCTATCATGTAATTCATTGTCCATTAGCATTTCTGTCTGGTTGCAGGGTAGGAGAAACAGGACTCCTGAGTCTCTGCTATGTTCTCTCCCATCAGAAAATGAGAGAAAGAATAGAAATTTCTTTTGATTTTGATTCAGCTGTCAGGAAACCAAGAACTAAATCACAGAACTAGGACACTGGAGCAACGCTAATTACACTTATCAAGAGCTATACCATGGACTAGGCACCGGCTAGGTGCATATCTACTTTATTTCATTTAGTTCTGCCTACATCTCTATGAGGCAGGTACTGTTTATTCCTTAGAGAGGTTAATTGGCTTGTCCAAAGTCACATAGTTAATGTAGGTGGAGCTGGGACTCGAATCAAAGTCTCTGGATTAGAAGTTTTTGGTTTCTTCTGGCTGGCCTGGTCAATATCCTACCTCTATACTAGGAGAATATAAAATAAAGTAGGAAAAGACAATTTTTTCCAAGAGTAAGAAAAGACAGAGGAAGTACACTCTTTAGTTTTTTTTAACCTCTTCTATCAGCTCTTTTTCATTTTTTAAGGGTGTTCCACATTAGAAAAAATGGACTCTGTATGTCCCAATTCAAAAGTTGGGCAAGTACATGAAGGCAAACATCTCATGAAGACAATCACATAACAAAAGAGAAACATTTGGAACACAGCTGTGTTTAACTACTGCCCATCATGTCTCTCAGGAAGCTGGAGGAAACATTTCAGGAATCATGACAGGTGAATACTGCCTTTTGGAAGACAGCAGGCTCCTTCCTTGCCCACTGCCTATCGTCACCCTGGAAGCTGGAAAAAGTTGTTGTACAAGAGATGAATGAAACCAGAAAATCAAAGGCAAATGTCACAGGCCCTAAGGAAAAAAACTCAAAAAAGAAGAATGAGGCTAATTTAGACTCAGAATTCCACGAAAAGATGCAAGGCAGGTCCCTGCCTGCCATATTCTTTTAGAGTTATCTTCAGGTAAGAATGAATTAGCATTTGTGGACAGATAGTAAAACATAAGTTGATTTCATAATATGGATAAACATATCTTTGCATGTGGGCTCACCTCTATATGAAATATTATGTCTATAAGATGAACTTGGTTTTCCTTGTGAGTCTAGACTATGTTAGACTTATAGTCCCAGGAATCAACTTCCGCTACCTTGTACTCAGAGTATAAGGTAACAGCCCAGAACTAATTTCAAATCTATCACTAACCCTTAGCTTTGACATTCATTCTGTGGCTATAAAAACACAAGAAAAAAGAGATTTGGTTACTACAGTGGGAGTGAGTTATTTCTATACACAACGGGCAATCCTCAGCTGAAAAGAATAGAAGGAAATCACTAGTTTTCCTTCTTGCACAGTTTTTGTTTTTTTTTTATACTAAGTGAAATAGTCTTCCGGAATGTTAAAACATCAGAAAACAATAAAGAGTATCTCTAAGCATCCAAAACTTTATGGACAGCCAAATGCTTGATGTCAAATTAGGAAAGCCCCATTCATAACTGCCATTAAATATGTTTTGGCACAAAATTGAGAATTACGAAATTTCTTAGAGCTGAAAGGAAATGTCATCATCAACCTGTCCCATCTTTTCCTTCTAAAGAGGAGAAAAGTGAGAACTAGAGATGTTCCATGACTTGATCAAAGTCCTACTTCTCACTGATGGCAAGAGTTAGGACTAACACCCAGGCACCTCTCAGCTTCTTTCTAGTGTTAAACTAAACATGTAATATGTATAATATGTTACACTCATTTCTTTAAAATTGTGTCGCACATCAATTTTCAATGAAAAAAATATATATCTCCCGATATAACATACCTGTCAGCCACACTGTACACCCTCGGAATCCACCCCGTGTTCCAACTACTTGCCCTCTCTTATTTCTGCTCACATGGTGGGCCTGATAGACGACGTTGGTGGATTTCTGCTGGTTCTCCTACAAAAACAAGACCAAGCACAATATTTAATAAGATAATAGATATAATACGTATAAATATAACAAAATAATAGATTACCTGCATAGTCTTTCCTAACTGAAACTCCTCTTTTATAATTGACATACAGAGTAACGTTAAGTAATTCTACAATTTAGATACACAGCCTTTAGAAGACCCATCGTGACTCTTTGAAAGTATAATTTGAACGAGGCAATTATTGATGTAACGTAAAAGTTCTAGTTCCATGACATTTTAAAATGTGCGCCTTTAGGTAATGGTTAGGGGAATGTCTTTGTTTCTGTAAATACATGTTCTCCCCAAGTCCTATGGGCATGAACTGAAAATGACCCAGATACTCAAGCCACTGAAGAAACAAAAAGCAAAAGCCACTGAGGCTGGTTGAGCCCCACTCTCTACAGAGCCAGGGAGAGGTCCAGATCATAAAGCACTGAAGTCTGTAATACCCCGCTCACTCCCACCCAGACATCAGGGACTTAAGAGTTTAGTTCCCGAGCGGAAGTGCATAGGGCAACTTTTTCACAGGCATTAAATTCTGCTTTCTCTTTCCCCAGGGCCAGTAGGTGAAGTTTTTAATCTTTAAAAAAAAGCCCTGCAGAAATGGAAATGTACCGGCTATTAGTCTTGGGGTTAATTCAAATCCCAAATGTCTTTAGTTCGGCTGTAATAAAATCAGCCAAGTGATGACACAGATGATCTGATCCTAAACTCTGGAAGGTACATGTCTGATGAATTAAAAGAGGTAAAATGAGCCAATAAATTCAGTTTGGGGTGGACTCTTTTTAAATGACATGTGATCCAAGGCAGGTGGGGCAGAGGAAACCCATAACGGTGCTTAAATGAAAAGGTTGGGAACTACTCATATATGTTTTTGGTGTGGTAACTGAATTTCTAACAACAGTTGTAATCCAAGTTGTTGAACTATAAAAATCGATGGAGCCTCTTAAACACCATACACTTACATCCACCAGAGCTGAGAAAGCTCCAATATTCTTTGAGCAAGACCCAGAGAATCTTAGTAAATACTGGGCAACTTCTATATTCTGGAGCAAATTAAATCACCTTGTATGCCTCCTCCTTTGCAGGGGTGGGGGATACAGGAGGATACGGGTAGGACTATTTGGAGGCTTATAAGATAACAGATGTGAATATGCTCTGTAAATGGCAAAGTTCTCTACAAATGTGAATGCTGATAATGATTTTTCAGTGTATGCTCCCAACAGAAAAGGCTGGAGCCAGGTGGATTAGGACCAGGAAAACGGCTTCGAGACCAAGGGGGAAGGAGCCCCCTGCTGGCCCTTGGGCGGTCAGAGAGGCAGTACACATCAGTGAGGGTAGGCTTGCCAGTGAGGCACAGAGCCCAGGAAAGGGGCCAGTCAAGCAAGGAATGGGCAGTGTCAGAGGGAACCAAGAGGAAGATGTCGAAAGCTGGGATCAGCTAGGTTAAGTTATCTGAAACCTCCAAAGCTAGAGGCTCTAATCATCCATCAAGCAAACCTGGTAAGAACCTGAGACTTGGAACAGGTCGGGATATAGTTAATTGCCTCTCCAACAATGGCTTGGTTTTCAAAAATAGTTCAGAAACCACCAGAAGGAACTAGTCTAAAAGTATTTAATAGTTAACCTTTGAACTTTTGGGTTTTATTAACTTAATCTTAATCATAGGTGTTTATAGATTTTCTATCACTCCAGCAAACAAATTTTTTCAGGTGCCCCGGTACTGGGCTTTTCTGATTTAGGATGATATTTTGTTTATTTATCTCATATTTACCCTTGATTTTCTCCAAAAGGCAAACAAATAAAATAGAAGCAGATGTTTTGAATGGTATTTGAACTGCAAAGGGATCAAGTAGCTGAAAACTTCTTTTCCTTTTCTCCCTTCTAAAGAACATATGGTATTCTAAGCTTTAGGGGGAAAAGTGGCTGTTAGAAAAAGGTTGTCTCTATGAAAAACAAAACACGTTAAAAAAAAAAGTTTGTCTCTCTGTGTGTAGAAACAGAGCACACAGACACCCTGGTATCTCGTCTAACATGTCACTTAGCAGGAAGTGGCCTGGAAACCACGAAGTTGGTGACATACTTCTATTCCAGGTCTCTAAGAAAAATTTTGCAAAAATCCCTACCTTCTTCCAGCTCACTGACCCAGAAAAACTGCCTTCAGCATGCACAGGAGTAGGGTGATTATCAGTTTTACAGTCAAGCAAATCTGAGTTTGAAATCTACTTTGCAGCCTACTTGCACTTTGACCCTGGACATATTATTAACATTGCTGACTCTCCATTTCTGGCTCTGTAAAATGGGGCTAAGAATGGTTTCCTCACAGGGTTGCTGTAAGGATTAGATAAAATGATTTTCTATGTAAAGTATCAAAGAAAATATATGACACAAGGGAAAATCTTGAATCTGATGAGACCCAAGTAGCATTTAATTTCTAGAGAAATTATAGTAAAATCACTCAAATTTAGACATGTTCTAGGAATTTGGGCCTACTCTAAGGCAAGTCTAGGAAAGTGGGGCTCATGATCAAATCAGATGATGGACAGGACAGCACTTTATATGGAGTGAAGTCACACACACACACACACACACACACACGCGCGCGCGCGCATTGTCGTTGTTGTTGCTCTTCTAATTATCATTATCTTTGACCCAAAGCCCAGTCAGTATGTATGCCAATCTGAGGTGCACCAGTGTGAAGCCTCTTCATTCTGCCCCAAACTTACTGCTTTCCTGCTGGCTGTCTCAGTCATAAGCCCTTAGTTACCAGCTTGAGAATGGCCTTTCCTCTCGGTTAGCCCATGAACTCTTAGAGTCAGGAGCTCAGCGCACAGCCCAGGGTTGCAGTGTATCTCTCTGCCAGGTGTGCCTTTCACCCTTTGATGATACAGAAAGGGGAGTGCTAGAGAAGCTTCTGAAACTCAGGGTGGAGCAGGCTAAGTCATGGCAGAGAGCTTCAGCCTTGATTTTGCATGACTAGAAGAGGCGACATAGAGAAAGGACTTCAGATGATCTCATGATTGGGTGGGGCATCTCCAGGGCCAAATCTGAGCATGTGTCACAGTGAATACCATTATAGGAATGGTATAAGAGGAATAAGGTATTAGAGGAATAAGGAAGCTGGAAACTGTGTGCCAGTAATGAGTTTCCCAAGACTCAAAGGTTTTTTTTGATGTGTTTGTAATCTCTTCAATAAAAAATGAACAAATGGATTTGAATTTCCTCTACACTTTCCTGCTTCCTATGCAGTGCAAACAAATCCACTTTATTTCCCTAATTATGACTCCACTCTGACCCTTCGAACTGGGCTCTCACTGCTGTTGGGCTATAGGTTCATTGCTCTCTTGCTGATTTCCAAGCCTTCTTGGCCTTGATGTGCAATTTGAAGATTCATTTAAAGATTCGCTTTCAGAAAGCAGCAACTTCAGTAAAGGCTCTCTCAGGCTCAGAGCAGAAGCTCCACGTTCACATGCATTATCTTGCTTATTGCTCAAAATGTGCGTGCTAAGGAAGCTGGGCACTGTGACACATTTACAGATCTAAAAACTACTGGCTGACGTCCCACGCCTGGAAGATGCAGGACATGGAGCCAGGCTTCCTGACGTAAATGCAGGTGTTACTCCTGCCCGGGCATAACATCCAGTTTCTGGTTCCAGCTGTGAGACCTCTGTGTCATAGCTTCCTCATAAGGACTAAATGAGATCATGTGTATTAATTAAGGTTTTTGATACTACACAAAAATGTAAACAATTTAAAAAATCATTCTCCATTTTCATTACTTAACATGAGTAGCTTAAAATGTTTTATAATTACCTATCTTTATTTCTTTCCTTTCAGAGTACTTCCTTGGAGTGTATAAACCAAAGTGAAATGATTGAGTATGAAAAGTTACAAACTATTTCAAAGGTCTCATTAAGTATCACCAGTTCATCTTCTGAAAGACAGAGCCAAGTTACCAGGCTACCACAATATACCTTTTTCTAAATATTCCAAGGAATTTATTGCATTTGTAATTTTATTATTCTTCCCTCTAGATTACTTTGTGCTTATTTAGCTACTAGTAAAAATATGCTTGTTTCCATGTAATAAGTTACTTATGACATTTGCGTGTTTGGTCTCTCTTGCTATTAATTAACTACATTCTGGACAATGACCATATCTATTTTTAAAAATATATTTTGGTTCTTTTTCCCTATTTTTTATAGTAAAGTTTTTATTAATTATAATATACCTATTCACTTGCTTTTCTTTTGATATGTACTTTATTATATATCACATAAAATATTATATATAATCTATTATATCATATTAAAAGGCATTTTAAGAATACATAAAAAGATTCTTATTGTCTTTAATGTCTCCCTATTTGATTATTCATTATAGCTGGGCAAAATATACTCTTCAGGCTTCTATCTATTTTTATATGAAACTGTATTAATTTTGTGATACTTCTGACATTTTTAAAATGTGTCATAGGATTATATGGATCAATTTTATTTATTTTCCATAATTATATCCAGTGATCTCAATAAATGTTGTAATTCATTTCCTTATTACTTTAAAAATCTTTTAATAGTGTGAACCTATTTCTAGAATTCTTATGTATTTATAATTTATGTTTTCTTATGTATTTCTACTGAAGCTTTTTATTTTTAGTGTGGATACCTATGGCTGTGATAGTTGTTCTGTAATATGTTTTAAAATTTTAAAGATAAAATCTTCTTTTAAATTTTTTTTCAATTTTAGTTTATTCTAAAACACATTCTTCCATGGAAATAAAATTATTCAAGTTTTGTTGAGAACGTGTAATGCCTCACTATGATTTTCCCTGCTAGTCTCACTCATTCTCAAAGAACTTCAACATTGTAATACAGCAAAAGGAATCATTACCCGAAGATGGTCATAGTAATATTATTTATGATAGTGAAATCAAAAACAATCAAAATGTCCGTCAATTAAATAGATTATGGCACAACCATATGAT